CCTCCAGCACCTGCTCGATCTTCTTCGTCATGAGAAACATTATTGAAATAATTTCTTGTCATTTTTTATCCTTCATCACATATAATAGATATGTATTTTTCTTGTATTAATACGAAAAAAAAAAACCAAATGATAGAACGTCTTTTTTTATCAGATATAAAAAGAAACGTCCAATATGATATCGTCATGTTATCTAATACAGAATGACAAAACCATACACACGAATAAAATTAGGATTGACATAAAGAGGATATGGATGTGACCTGTAATCATAACATTTTGTGCAAAAAAAAAACAAAAAGCCAAATAGACTAAACTGTACAAACAATGACAATTCGCGGAATAAAAGAACAAAACTAAGAACAACAATAAGAAGACAAAAGAAGAGATAGAAACTGTTCGTATTTATACGCACAAACAAAGAAGGAAATAGGATACATATGAATGTATATGTGAAGTCGATATAGAATGTGCTTGAATTAAAGTTAAAAGAAGAGTATTGTTATCACCGGATGGAAAAAAAATTACAACCGGAAAAAGATGCTTATTTAAAAGCATTTATTGGACGGATGCATATATATATATATATATATTTAATATGTTGAATGTGAACAAGTTGATATGTCTCATGTTACAGTTCGTTTTGTAATCGTCGAAAATTTTTCATTGATGATGATGGCCATAAATGATGTAATGATTGTAAACGATTTTCAATGCGATAGGCTAAGTTAATTAAATAAAATGAATGTACTATTAAAATTATAATAAATATTAACAATATCAATGATGTTTTAATTGGATAAGTTTTAAATCGATTATATAATAATAATAAATATTCAATGAGAAGTTTTACAATAGATATAACAGATAAAATAATTATACGACTATATTTTCCTAATAAACCATCATTATTTGAATTTATTATTAAAGAATCAGTATTTGTCATTGAACTTGTTGAAGAATTTGAAGTTCGGATATTTGATGATGTACGATTTGATGGGGATAATGTTCGATCACGACTACGACTTCGATTAGTTCGTAATGAAGTATTATGTGATTGACGAAATACTACAGGAGGATTATCTAAATAAGAAAAATATAAATTATTTTATTTTTAATTTGAATATATTGGAAGAAATTTGATTCTAGAGAATTATTATAAATATTATTTTCAAGGAGTATATCTTACAAAATAAGGAGTAATAAAAGTGAATTTTATAATTATTCAACGTTCATTGAAAATGATTTTTAACAATGATTGATAGGATAATAATTTACTAGAGAATCATGCAGTGTTTCAAAATTCTAGAAGTATAATTCGATCCTTTTATGCATCATCCACTATAGAAATCAACGATTCTTTGAAGATCAGTTTTGTGTATTATACTGTATAGCATCATCAGCGTTGATCATTTTAGTAAAACGAATTAACTTAACAAATAAATACCGGTGACATAATCAAAATATCGAAAAACTTCCAATTGATCTATCGCTAGTGCTGTGAAAATTTTTTCAATATTTTGCCATTGTCAATCTGTTAACTTAAATTTCTTTTTTACTAAAATGATCTGCTTGGATAACTCCATGGAATTTCATAAACGAATGGATTTTTCGAAAACCTTTGATTTTTATATGTGACTACTAGAGCCGGTTGGGTTTGCGTCTGAAACTTTTCTCTTAAGCAGATACGAAAATTTTGGATCGAACGAGCTCTACTAACCACCTACAAAACACGATAGTGCGTATCCACCAGGGAATCACATCTTCACAAGTGTATTAAACAATTAGAAATTTTTATTCAACAAACTTCTTATAATATTTCTACTAATGGTGTAGTGACAGCGTTTGCTTTTGACAATAATCATCATTCAGAAATTGAAAATTCAATAGTAATTACAGTATCAGTCTACAATGAGGAAACTTGAAACACTGTGATACATAATTTAACTAGTGAGAAGTAAAAAGATTGACATATACAATCTCAAAATGTCTTCTCAAAATATGGAATTCCTTTTGATTACCTTGACTTTCCAATATCTGGATGATGATTACATCTCTGATATATAACCTTTGCTATTACTAAAAACTTATTCAGTTGTCTAGGATGAGATTATATTGAAGAGTTGTGACGCAGCTTGATGCAAGGTTAGGAGACCGGACACTTTTATCAAAAACCCCATGAAAAACCTCTTTGAAACTGATTTCTTCGAACCCATGTTTCAACATTTTCTTTCGATAAGCTTTACCCTTATTAAGATTTAGAAAAGAGTAAAAAAAACGGAAAGAGATATAATTTCCTGCAGCAAATTCATCAGATAGTTTTAATAGATAAAATAGTTTACAAAAAAAAAAATAAATAAATCGACTTATCTATGAAGATATGTAGAAATTGCAAACTATGTTTGTAAATTCGAAGATAGACCTTTCAATTTTCTGATATGTTAATACAATTAACTATCATTAAATTAGTCTCGTTCTTATATTATTACTTGATTGAAATAGATTTAATTTAACTTGATGTAATTGTATATCTAAAGACCAATTATTTTGACTCGAACCTTATTACTCAGCTCAATTCAGCTCATGCTTCGGGTGCAAATCATGGAATGCATCCGATTACGCCTCCTGAACTCATCTATATATTTTTTTGCGGTACTATAAATAGATTCTTTTTTCTTTTTAATAAGAAAACTGACTTGTAAGTCACGATTTTGTCTTATCGCCAGCAGTAGATCATAATAACACTAAAAGAACACATAGCTTAAACCAATCGTGCTTATAAATCTTTCAAATGAAATTATAATGAGGTCACGAAGATTCACGGCAAAAAATATAGATCATGTTGAAAAAATAGAATTATGACTAAGAAACTATTTGAACTTATATTAATCTTATGAAGATTGTCTATGTTATGATTAATACAAAATAATAATCAAAATAATTAATTCTTACTTAATATTGTATTAGTTTCATTTTCTTGATTTTTATTATTATTGATACGTGAATTTCTATTGAATTCATTATTATCAGAATTATTTTCACTTAAACTATTTGTGAAACTTTGATTTGTATTTGAATGTTTAAATGATTTATTTTTATCAGAATTAAATAATTTTCTTGATTGTTTTAATTGTTGTTTAGTATAAGAATTTTTCGATGAAATAGATTGTTGTCGCCATTTATTATTGTTATTATTATTATTATTTATTATTGTTGTTGTATTTGATGTTAAACACATTTGTAAAACTCCATCTTGTTCTTGTTCATCAACCATATCATAAGCCATATCACGTTTTGATTTTTTTATTTTTTCATTATAATTAAAATTACTATTTACAGCTTTTAATGTACCACCTTGTGTTAAATGATTGTCATCATCATCTTGTAATGAATTTGTATCATTATTATAACGTGAACACATATAAAAAATTTTATCATATGCTTGATCACGTTGAAGAAATGATGCATAAATAACTTTTTTTCCTGAATGTTTTAATTGTATACCAATAGCTGTTGGAAATATGAATGCAACACGTTCTTTTGTAACATTTTCAATTTGTTCCCAACGATAAACATGTTTTGTTACATAAGATATAATTCGTGAATGAAAACATAGATAACGATCAGTTATATACATTTTACCTTGTAATAATATATCACCTAACAAAATTAGATAATAATTAAAAAAAAAAAAACAGTTTTTATATTGAGAAAATTTTTGTTTCGTTTTTCTTTTGTCTTACCTTGATATGCACAAACATAAGAATCAATTAGTTCTGGCATTTCATCAGGTATTTCAGATTTAAATAATTTTTGAAAATGTTTTTCACGTCGTGATAATTGTTCTTGTGAATTAACATCATTTTTTTGTTGTCCACTATCATGTCTTGATAATGATTGTTGTTGTTGTTGTTGCATTTGTATTGGCATATTATTTAATTCTAATAAATTATTATTATCAATATATCGTTCTTCTTGTTCACTTTCTAATTCACTATCAGTTGTTGTTGATGATACTGTTGTATTTGAATTTAATTGGGAGGATATTTGTTTATCAGTAAATATTGTATTTTTAGCACCAGCACTATCAATTGATGATGAAGATGAATTTGCATTAATGACATTATTTATTGGTATATTTTGTTGATTTGATGAACGTATTGAAAGTGATTCTTTTTTTGACAAAATACTTTTAGCTCCATTTATAATTGTTTCATCAGGTACATTATTCGATGAAATCACCATTGACACAGGTCGATTATTGGCCATTTCAACGATATCTATAATAAAAATAAATAAACACGTAAAATTTTCTTTCTATTTAGTCTTTACAAGAAATGTAAATATTATTTCTCGAATTAAAGTTGGAAACTTTTTTTTTATATGCATTTTTCTTCGAACGCCTACCCTATTTTGTCTTGTATATAATGGCTTGCATACGCAAATATAATCCATAAACCTTAGATGATCGAGTATTGTAGGTAAAAAATAATATACTTCCTTTCTTTCTATCGTTCACAGAAAGTACACTTTTCATGCAAGCTGAATATAATATGAAGTGGAAAATTTTATGCGGAGAAACGGCAAAGAAATAATTAAGAAAATGGATGCACGACAAGGAAAAAAGGATTTTACATTATTTATACGACGAGTATTTTTTGGAGTCTTATTGAATCGATCTAAAAAAACCTCTTATGTTTTCTTTTCTAATGATTTTTCTTCGTTCTTGTTTTGACACACTTGTGATGTCGGGTCGTAGTTTGTTCGTCATCATGACAACATAAACCACAATGCTGAAAACAATAATTATTTTTTTTTAAGTCTTTATAATCAGAAATATTGACATCATTATAAAAATTAGTACATGTAAGCACATACTTCACAAAAATTTCACTGTTGATCATAGATACAATGACGAAAAATGAGAAAAGAACAGAACAACTAACAACTGATAATAATTATTTATTAGAAACGTGATCGTCAAGACTTTCAATTGTTGCCTAATACAAACCCGTAAGCATCACACCACCAATCAGCATTAAACGCCAAAGTCACCCCATACTATTCTTCTCTCTTCTTCTTCTTCTTCTCCGTCTGCTTCTGCTTCGACGACTCAAAGCAGTGGAAGAGGAACATGCCTCTATTTGCCTCCCGTCTCCATGCCGTTCTTTCATGTATACTTGCTCGCGTGTTTTCTTTCTTTAGTGGCTGTGTTGCTGTAGGTCGAGCGAGCATCGGCTTAACAAAATATTCTTAGTGCAATGATCGATCGATAATAAGAAAGAAAGAAAAAAAAAAAGAAAAAACTGACTCAATGAACACTGCGCAAAGAAGCAAGATGACATCTATGTTACTTTCGTTTTTACGATTCTAATTAGTACTTAGACGATGATGCCAATGTAACGAACGAGTAAGACGAGAACAGTATTATATAATTCAATTTTGTTTTCTTCTATTGAAAAACTATTCAACAGCAAAAAGAAAAAAATTCTCTTCACGCTTTTTTGTCTCTCTAGAATAGTTAAATGATATTTTGTTACTAATTGTAAAAAGCTTTTTAATATATATGATACTTCTTTTTAAGAGTCCTATTTATTGCTTATATGTTTGTGTTTGGAAAAAAAAAGAATAAAAAATAAGATTTATATCAAACTCAACTTCAATAATACTGTCACACAACAATGTTAATATTTATTTGTTTGCGTCGTCTACTTTTGAAAAAACATTTCTCACTAAAAACAACAAAAAAAAAAAAATCATTGGCCTAGAAAATATAAAATATTTTTATATTAAATATTTCTTTTCCAGGTAAAAGAAAAACAATGAAAAAAAAAAAATTTATCAACAAACTAAGAAAACTAAAAGAACATGATTAATTCTTACTCGTCAGTTGAGTGATATGAAACAAGAATGGACCGATGATGGCAAGGGATGATAGAAAAAGAATCGAACGATGTTATACGACGCGTTTGACTGGTTGTTTAGTTGCTTTACTTGTAGACCAAATTCGTCTAAGAATACAAATAATAGTCGCTTATTGTAGCTATTAATAGCAAATTCAATATAGTTGATGATATTATTCAAAGATGAATACATCTACAGATAAAGATAAAACGAAAAAGAAAAGAAATGAAGAATGAGAAGGTTCACGTAATATAAAGAAAGAGAGAAAAAAAATAACCGAACAATAGATGATGATAAATAAACGAGATTGTCAAGTTAAACATACCATAGTTATGTAAATGTTCATTTGTCACCGATAGTGTGACAAAAGAATGAACAATATAAAATAGCAAAGATTCATCTGTCAAATAAACCTATAGATTTTAATGTGCATAGAAATAGATGTCGTTCAATTGTTGATAAAAGTTCTTTTTGTACTTGTTCTATTAAAGAATACTTCACTTATAACGATAAGTATCATATATCTATGCCCTGACATATTTCTCCTTCATACACTGTTATAAAATTGAAAGAAGAAAAATAAAATCCATATACTCAGTTGAATGTAATATCATGCTGAGTTTTAAATAAAATAAATTGAAGATGATTTTATTTAGCAAAAAAAAAAAGCAATCAAGTTAAGTATGTCTAAAAACCATACATGTATATCTTAGTTATTTTTGCATACTGCTGTTATTTTGTATTCATATAAGATAGCAAAAATTAGTATAAAAGTAAAAAATAAATCATATAAAATTGTCCTATTTGTCGATCGAATGACGTCAAAAGCTGAAAAAAAAAGTTTCCATACAATAAACATCTATTTTTTGAATTCTTTTTTTTTTATTTAATAATTATTTATTATAGAAACTTTTAGTAACTATGGATGATGAAAATATAAAAGTGCAAAAAAAAAGAAGCACTCAGGAAATAGAACAACAAGAGAAATATATTTTAAACATTAATTCAACTTGCATGCCCACAAATATTGACAAATAACAATGAAACAATATCGTGTTCAAATAATATTGTGCGCTAACAAATGAGAAAATAAATCAGATTAGAGGCTATCGATCAAGAACCTCTCAAGTAGATGTTATATATTTTGACTCCCCAGTTGTCTCTGTTCGATTTCATCGACTCTCGTGAACGTCAAGCATACAAAAACGACCTTCTAGAAAGAGTCTCCTTATTCATATATATCATTTCTTTTCTATTAAATGACAGTTTATTAAATAAAAGAATGAATATTAAAAAAGACACACCACACATATATCATAAACAACAAACCAAAATATAATAGATATTGCAATGTTTTTATTTGATTTTTTAAATACATTCGATTTTAATGAGCAGAAAATAATAGAAACAAAAAAATGAAGTTCAATGCAAATGACATTCAAAAGTCTTACAATGTTTATATTACTGCTCGAGAAAATAACTATGTATTCATATAGCCTAATCTTCAATTATTTCAACAACATATTCATATTCAACTGATTCATTCAGATTATTTTGTATTTTAAAAATCTCTTTCAGAAATTCTCTAAAAGTTGTATGAAAAGAAAAATATTCATAGTCAGTGTCTGAACATCCAGAAATATTTGATCCCTTATATGTATTAGAGGTCGACGGTTCTGATCACTAAAAATAAGCAAAAACTGGTTCCAGTTTGGTTGTTAAAATATTACATGGAACCGAAATCGTTAAATCATTAGATAGATACAAAATTTTAACCAACTAATGAGAAACTTTCACTATTAAGTTATTGAGATGAAAAATTCGACATATTCCTCAATGGTTAAACAAAAAATCCTCGGTTTGATTCTTGGTTTCATCTTTTTGAAACCGTCGAACTCTATTATCTGGACGTTGTTTATGGATAGACCTGTCTTTTAATAGATTATATTGAAAATAGATTGTTAGCAGAAACAAAATGATATAGACTGTACATGATAAAATATCAATTTACTGACACATTCTTGATGGCTTGTAAGATACCCTAGATCAATTTAGTTTCCTTCAAAAAAAATTTTTCCATTAGTTTCATAAATTCCAAATTCTTACTCAATAATGAAGATTTATTTTATTGATACAATACAAGTAGACAAATACGTAGTACTTTATAAATTATAATTGATATTACTATAAAGTGACTTTGATTAAAAATTGTTCAAAATTTTTATTTGATTAAGTTTTCTATGATATATGTATTGTTCATTCTCAATCAATAACATCAGAAAGAAATCATGAGATTAAATTATAATCAATATGATGATTACAGTTTTCTTTAATGAATAAAACCATTCACTGTCGTTTTATATAGTTTACGGTTGTTCACGGCTAGATTCATCCGATCCGATGAAAGACTTCGGGCTACTTTCAAAACTTTACAATTTAATATAAAATGGGCACATTGATTTTTACAGAGTCAATGAAAACAAAGCTTCGATATTTAACTGCAGGAGATTTCCGTTCTCTTAGAGAAGCACAGACAATATATAGCTTTTACTTTTTAGTTGAGTTTCACAATATCGACAGCGTGCTAAACGAAAAGCGAGCTTGTTGCTTTTGAAAACGAAAAGAATTCTATGAAATTCATAAGTTAGTCATATATAACATTGGGAATTAGCGGACTCTGACATACTATCATGACGAGGATTAATATGATTGGTTACCATTTTACAGTTGTTTTTCTCATCTTCTTGGAGGTGGATGTGGCTACATCCATCTACGCATAAGATCTTGTTAGAATTAGTCTTAGATACATCAAAACAAATGAAAGAGATAATCTAAAACTCATTATTTATGTTCATCTATTTTAGATTAATATGGGTGGTCCAAGTGGAACTTCACAAAAGCAAACAGCAACAACTAAAGATGTTTTACTTGATTTTCTTGCCGGTGGAACAGGTTTGTTTTTCTTTTGTTTTATTTAATGAACACAGTTTTCATTTTTATTTCTTTTTAGCTGTATGTATAACACCATTCTTCATTTTACATCTGTAAAACTTCCATGTCGATGGGTTCTTTTTTTTTTCTAGGGAGCTATTTCAAAAACAGCTGTAGCACCTCTTGAACGTGTAAAACTTTTGTTACAAACACAAGATGTTAATCAAAAAATTGTACAAGGAAGAAAATATAAAGGATTTGGTGATTGTTTTATTCGATGTATTCGAGAAGAAGGACCTATTTCTCTTTGGCGTGGTAATTGGGCAAACGTTATTCGTTATTTTCCAACAGTAATTTAATTTTTATCTCAACTTTTAAAAGTTTAATTAATTTATATTGTTTGTTTTTTTTTCCCTTTGATAAGCAAGCATTAA